ATATCATCCAGTTATTTTAAGGCAAGAGGTCGTTCTATTATCTGTCTCAAGGGCTAGTCTGTTAAATAACTTTCTTCCTCTCCTAGCAATTGAACTCTGAGTGTATTTCCCTAAAGGTCATACTTCTACTTCTGTATAGTTCAATTTAAAGTTTTAAGATAAAATTTAGTGATGCTCTAATGAAATTAATATTTTTAAATATTTCATTTTTATCATAAGGACATAGTACTTTAGCATTGAAAGTAATATTAATGTTTTGTTAACATAAGAAATTAGAAAGATCTAGTAACTTGTCTAATATGACATGGCTGTTTATTCATTATAAATCCATTCAGTAACTTATACAATGAGAGCAAAGTGCAATTGAGAAGGTAACTGAGCCAAAGAAATATCTGGTTGCCAACCAGAATCTTTGCTGAGCTTATTAAAGATCATAAGCAGTAATCGAGAATACAAATATGAAAGCTCTTAACAGTCTAAATTGAATTTATTTATTTTTTTTTTTTTAAATTTTCTAGAGGCATGTCTTATTTATTTATTTATTTATTGATTGTTTGTTTGATACATGCACTGGGTACAGTCAGAAGCGTGGGAGGGTGAGAGAATTCACCAGAGCCAGAGCGGGGAGCAGAGCAGGCAGAAGGACCGAAGTACACTGCTGAGGGGAGCAGCGGGCGGCAGGAGAGGTCTGCGCGCCATGTGGGACCCTCCTCTGGTGGCCGGGGAGCAGCCGGGGATCGAACCGGCTGCAGAGGCTGCAGGCAGCTTCGCAACCCAGCGCTCAACTGCTGCGCCACCGGGGAGGCCCCTAAATTGAATTTAAAACCTTGCTAGGAGTTTTTTAATCTTGGTCACTCTTGTGTCTTCTAACCACCAACATGACTGAAAAAGTAAAAAATTAGAAGTCAATATAGTGTAGAGAAAACTTCATTTTGTTTAATTATATTTGTGTTTTATTCATACATTTCACCAGGGTGTAGTGTGGTAGACACAAAAATTGACTATAAATTAGAGCATTAGTGAATTTTTCCATTTTAGATTCTATTAATTACTCTAGATCCCTCTTTATTGACTGATTATAACTAGCTCATCCAGACTCTATTTTTACCACTAAAGGTGTTATTAACCAAGAACGTGTAAAGATCAGAGCCTTTCTGAATAACTCACTTCACATAATAAATTTGACGCTGATGGCTGCATATAACAACTATGGAGGCATCATCAAAAAATGTATTTCCTCTAAATGATGTTTATAGTATCCAGGTGATTGCAAGAAGTGTTTTTGGTATTATTGTCCTTAGAGCTTTATTTCCGTAAGGAAGTGTCTGCTTTTATTCAGAGGTGAGGACCTCAAAGGCAGAGTAATCTGTTCTACTTGACTAGGAATAAATCACCCGGATTGGAACAGGGTAGTTCCTGACAACTGGCAATCCTGATAAAACACAAAACAAAAGATGTCAAGAAATTTGTGCCAGTGTGGAATTGGTGTGCAGATTTGATGAATTTATATGTAGCTGCATTTGGCATTATGAGTTTTTCTCTGGTTTTATCTGTTTTCTGTGTATGGAGAAGGCTTTATGTAGTAATTATCTTCTTTCCAACTCCGTTAAAAGAACAATATTATGACTAGAGAGGTCATTTTAAGGAATACGTCTCCTTTCTCTGAACAGTTAATTAAAAAATACTTTCTTGAATTCTTCATTGTTCGTGCTTCTCTAGGATGTTAAACTCTATGTGTAAGTAACCCTGGTTGATCCTTCCCTTTTTAATTTATCATCAAGGACAAAGATATAGAGTAAATGACAATTCCTTCACTCTCTACTAAATTTTACTCATGAAGAAATTGAAAACATGCTAATAGGTACAAATGATTTCTTTCTGTATCAGATAGGGTATGTATAAAATAGAAACAAAGCCCATGGAATTATAGGACATATAATTTTCTGCAACAATCATTTTATTAAATTAGCATTCTCATAGTCTTATGGTGATGCTTAGTTATTACAAAATTTTTATTTTTATTTATATACAAAATTTTTATTTTTATTTAAAAAATTTTTTTTCTTCTTCCTCTTTTTAAAGATTTGTTTATTTATGCATACAAGAGCTGGGGTACAGGCTAGAGGTGTGGGGGGTGAGAGGATTCACCAGAGACAGAGTGGGGAACAGAACAGGCAGACCAAATGAAATACACTGCTGAGGGGAGCAGTGGAAGAGTCAGGAGAGGTCTACTGCGCCATGTGGACTGCTCCGTGGATGGCTGGGGATCAAACCTGGTGCTGCAGAGGCTGCGGACTGCTCCATAGTACCGTGCTTTTAACCCCTTGCGCCACCAGGGAGGCCCCATACAAAATTTTTAAAAGTGCCTGACATATACATAGATGCTTTATATTTAAGTGTTAGCCATCCCTGTTATCAATACTACCTCCTCCTGACCACCACTACAAATAATATTTTTACTGTTGTTATTATATAGTTATTTTCTGGATGCTATGTTTTCTGTTCATATGAAACAAGGTTTTTTGAGATAGATTTTCTGAGCATATTTAACATTATTCCAAACAGTCACCTTTATTGTTAATATTCAAATTAGTGCATGCCTGATCCAGTTTTTCTCTTGGCTGTGTTTTTAAAACTTTTTGTAAATCATATACTTCAGGTTGTGTGGATAATTTAACTTAGTGTATAATAGGATCTCCGCTATATTTTTTATAGAAATTACATAATAAACACTGAAATCAATGATATGATACTATCAAGGCACTGTTGCAATCTCAACATTAATTTTGGAAAAAGAAGAGAATAATGGCAAGAATAATACTGTAGCATTCATACATCAGCTGGTCAGTGTCACTTATACCCAGAGATTCATGATCAAAAAACCACAATTTTGAATCACAACAAAAGTGAAAATATATAACATGAACTTTGCTTTTTCTTGCTAAGAAAGTCTAATCAATTGTGTCACCATCTTTTCTTTGTGTAAGGTTCATGTATTACCAACTTGAATAACTGTCATTGCCAGTTAAACATGTAAATACTAGGCATTATAGTCTGCGTGTATAAGTAATACTAGATTTTTGAGTTGCAAATTCTCTTTTGTGGTCATAAGTTTGACTAAGTATTGATCCATCTGAGATTTCGTATTAGTGTCTGATTCTGGTTATCCTAAAGGAAGATGAAACTCATGATTTCATCTTTGAGGGACTTTTCTTTCACAATAGGGTTGGACTTTCATTAACATTGAAGAGACTGGAACCCATTTCATTATTTCAGTTCTTCACTTGTATGATTATTTCTTTGTTAAAGAATGAAACCAAAGCCTTAGAGGACTCGTGGTACTCCTCCCCATCCCCTGTGACAGAAACAGCTTCTTTTTTTTTTTTTTTTTTTTTTAAAGATTTATTTATTTATTTATACAAGCACTGGGTACAGTCAGAAGTGTGGGAGGGTGAGAGAATTCACCAGAGCCAGAGCGGAAAGCAGAACAGGCAGACTGATGAAATACACTGCAGAGGGGAGCAGCGGGTGGCTGGAGAGGTCTGTGCGCCATGTGGGACCCTCACCGGTGGCCGGGGATCGAACCGGCGCTGCAAAGGCTGCGGGCAGCTTCGCAACCCAGCGCTCAACCGCTGCACCACCGGGGAGGCCCAGAAGCAGCTTCTTAATTTACTGTAACTTGATTCATGCAGGAAATTATTTGAAGGTTGGATGTAGGGTTCTTTCGTAGTTCCTTTCTGGACAGGCATTTATGGTCTATGCCTAAAGACATTATATATAAGTCCAAGCATAAATTATCATATACTGATTAATTAACCAATATTTATTATAGACTTGATGTGTGCCAGATATAAAGGCACAAAACTGGGGTTTAGGGGCAGAATCCTGACTACTTGTGGACAAATGTATAAAATAATACAGTTAGGGATTAGTGTTAAATAGATAGATGGAAGAATGGAGAAATATATGATAAATATATAAATGAAAGAATGGAGATAAGTGTGTTTACTTACATGTAGTGTGCAAAAAGGTTTAGTGAAATATAGAAGATGATCATCATATTCTCATGGGAGTAAGAACAAGAGAGTCTTCTCGAAAGATATAACCTGCTATCTTGACACAAAACCTCTCCTCCTCTCTTCCATCTCTCTTAGCTTGTTTAATTTCCAAAATTTCTTAACTGAATCGACACAATCTTTATTTCCCTTGTTTCTATGCAAGTTCCCTTAAATTTCTTCTCCACAGTCCTGAGAATTATCTGCCTGAACTGTACAGCTGACCAGACCATTTCTTTGCTTAAAAATTATGAATGGGTTCTCATCTGTCTAGATTAAAGTATGTATTTTTTAGAATGGCACACACGCTTATCCATAGCTTGGACTCAGCTACATAATGATAGTTCTCTTACCATCTCATAGCATAATAACAATGAGTCTATTCATTTTTCTTTGTATCACTCATGCCTGGCATATAATAGAGAATTCAGTAGATACTTTTTGAGTACATGAATGCATATAATGTGTATAAAGAAGTGAATAACAGCAGTAAGAAATGTCATTGAAAATGCTTGCTGTTTAGCTAAAGGTTAAAAATCTAACTTAACACTAGTATTTAAGATACAGCTGGTTTGTTTGTCTTACTGTCTAGTTGTTCTGTTCTCTGTCCATCCTTGTTTCTTCTTGACATTTATCATGTTATTTTGGAAATAATCCAGTTTCTCATGGTTCTACATCCCCATCTGTATCTATTGGGTTTTCTTCCTGGTTACACACCTTATTGTGTCTATACCCATCTTGGCATCTTTTTTCTGTTCTGGCTATGATTTTTGGGTCTCAAGCTTTGCGTGTAGTTCTGAAACCCTTAGGATTATAACTGTTTCTACAGAACACATAGAGACAACCCTGATCTACTTGTTTCCGCACCTAAAATGATGTTTATTATGACTATTTCTCTTCATTTTCTCCCTCCCTCCCCCTCTCACAATGTATATGCACACTCAGATTGAAAATCTTCAAGAGCAACTTAGAGATAAAGAAAAACAAATGAGCAGCTTGAAAGAACGAGTCAAATCCTTGCAGGCGGACACCACCAACACCGACACTGCCTTGACAACTTTGGAGGAGGCCCTTGCAGAGAAAGTGAGTGACTGTCTTGACTCTTCACAAACACATTTCTTCTCCTTTTTCATTCATCTAAAATTTTCTCTATGATGATAAGGGAGACAGAAGAAATTCCTTTGGGCAAAAGGGAAAAGAGCTCTCTCTACTACTGCTACAAAGTTTAAGAGGGAAGAAAATCTGTTTTGTTGTTGCCAATTTAAGCATCTGTTTCTAGGCAAGATGGATTCAAGTGAGTGAATTTCTAGAGGATCTGTCATATGTTCCCCATTTACTATGCTCTGAAGAAACAGTAAAGTTCTTATTATATGGTCAACTAGAATTTGGGGATGTCAAAACATCAGATATGACCATCAGGAGGCAGTAGATAATTCGTCCTTTACCATGTTGGTACCTAAAATATTCATGAATTTTAGTTATTAATTCAGTATATTTACCACTTTTCTTGTCTTGGCCTTGCTTCATTTTGCATTTATGAGTGAACCTAGTTTTTAAGGAATGATTGATTAAATAAGAAGTGGTATAGATTGTTAATGTCTTGGGTGGAGGTTTAAGGAATCTTGGTTGGGCATTGTAATTTCTTAAAGGAGCAGGGCCAGTGTCCCTTAAACCTCTTGGACTCAGAATGCTTCAAGTTGCGTGCTCAGGTATCAGGCCTTGATCCCTGAATACATTCATTAATGATATCTAGAAATATACATAAATTGCTTTAACTTTCAAGCTTCCTAAGTACCTGTTGACAGAAGGGAGTTTTAATGGTCTCTGCTTTCTTTATCCTTCATTATGCTTTAAGCTCAATATACCAGAATGTCCCCAACTTCTCTGGGGTTTTTTGGTGTGTGAAATTTTTATTGTTCCCATTGTCTTATGGATAACATGTGAATTACACATAAAGAAGAAATATTTTTTTATAATTCCTAGGATGTATGTGGGGTTTCTTTAAGTTTGGTTATTTGGGAATTAGATAAATGTTACTATTTCAAATGAAAACTTTAAGGGCCTCTAATATTAGTTTACATTATAGGAAATGAAAGAAACCCAGGGGAATCAAAAGAACAAAGTCAGATCTTTGTTGTGGCAAGATATGTAGAATAGATGAATTCTTAAAAAAAAAATAAATTATTAACTTATCACTGTCTTTTGAATGGTAGATGGAAGTGTGAAATTCTGTCAGCTAACAGCTAAATTACAGTTCTGTGATGTAAGCACGGAAGGAATTTTCTCATGTATTGATGTGCTCTCTTATCAGGAGCGGACAATTGAACGTTTAAAGGAGCAGCGGGACAGAGATGAACGAGAGAAGCAAGAGGAAATTGATAACTACAAAAAAGATCTTAAGGACTTGAAAGAAAAAGTCAGCCTATTACAAGGCGATCTTTCAGAGAAAGAGGTTAAGATCACAAAATGGAATTTTTTTGTTTGCTCAGTTGGTGCATTGTGTGTTTATGTTGTTGGTATATACATAATGGATATAAAGTATTTGATGGAAGATTTCCTTACTATTCTTGCAGCAGACTTTCAGGAATATTCCAAGGGATATTTCAGGAAGCACTGCAGAGACATAGTAGATTGGATCATTCATTTCCTAAGTTTACCTTTTCAGTGATGAGTTGATTTCTTACTTGTTAGTGACATTTTTATAGTTATTAAAATAACTGAAGCCTCGTTATATCTAGAGAAATATTGTGCTAATGGCAAAGAAGGTAATAGATGAAGGGAATATGCAAAACTTGATTTATAACAGCTGTTAGAGTTCACCTCGGTGTTGTTGGAGAAATCTTAAATGATTGTTGTCTGAGTAGGGAACATCATAGTTAGAACTGACTTTTGAAGAAATCCTGTTAATGTGACCTAAATAGCAAAAATGACTAGTATCTTATGATCACCTAATGATGCATGAACTGTAGGGCCATTCCCTGGATTTTCTTTCTAATACCTTTAGGAAAATTTATGGAAATTTATTTCCTATTGGAAGTTTCCTTCTAAAAGGAAAAAGTATTTTAAATTTAAGTCAGTGTACGTATTATAATTAACTGATTACATTGACATAGTTTTATTGACTTCCATTTATTTTGTGGGAATGGATGTGCATTTAATAAAACTCTTTAAATCACTCTTCATTTGCTATTTCTTGGGAATTCCATCATATTTTAGTTATGAATTGAAAGCTAAAGCTATTTTTTTTTTTGTTTTTTATCTCAGTATTCTTGAGGTGGGAATTTATCGGTTCTAGAATGATAGAAAGCTACAAGATAATAAATCCAAAAATTTAAATCTCCATTTTATTTATAGTTAGTATTTATTCTAGATGTGTATTGCTTCTTTCAGGCTTCACTCTTAGATCTGAAAGAGCATGCTTCTTCCCTGGCTTCCTCAGGACTGAAAAAGGACTCACGGCTTAAGACACTAGAGATTGCTTTGGAGCAGAAGAAGGAGGAGTGTCTGAAAATGGAATCACAGTTGAAAAAGGTGAAAGAAGAAAATTTCCATTTTCTTTTCCTTGATGTAAAAAAGAACATAGTAGAAAATTCTATAGTGTTCATATGAAATAATTTACCCTAGTGAGGTAATAATTCCCTAGCCTTCAAAATACCATTTATACCTTGATTATTTCTCTTAGAATTCTTAGCCTTTTTTATTTTATTTTTGAGACTCCCCAAACTCTTAGAAAATTGAGAGGTCAAAGAATGATTAAAGTATATATCTCCCTTATCGATGAAGAATAAGACCACAATGTAAAAGATCTTTATTCTCTGATACTCTTCCTCTATTAGCATCAGATTTCCTAGGAGACAACTTTAATAGTGATAATTCTTGATACTGGTGAATATTAGGATATGGTACTGATACTTGCTATCTATTTCTCTGATTAATCCTCTCTGATATTTACATGACAGTTAATAGTTTTCAGAGGATTTTCGTATGTTTATCACCAACATACTAATTGTGTCAGAATTGGAACTGAGACTTTTGAATTGTTAAATTAACTAGGTCCTGTTCAGATCATTGTTGTGAAAAAGAGTATAGCCTAGTCTTGAAACTTCCAAGTTTTGTTTTCTTTCAATGCATTCGGTGTATACAGCATGATAGCCTCATACTGAATTTTCAGATTTGATAGTCCGCTTTTTCCTCCCTTTTTAAAAAGTGGAGGTAATTTTCTAATTAATACATGAATGTTAAAGGTGAAGCTCTTAGATATATGTAGGGTTATAAAACTGACTTTCAAAATTAATGTTATCCGAGACTCCTCTGTTTATGAAAATTCCACATTTTCGTTCTGCTTATTTTTAGTCTCTTTTTATGATACTTCTATAGCTGGTCATTTCTACAGTTTCTAAATTTTAGGCTTTATATTTAGGTTCATCAGAAAAAATATAAAGTTATTTTTGGGATGAGGAGGTTGATGGCTTTTCCCTACTTTATTACTGGTTTTTCTGCCCATGGCCATCCTTCTTTTCATGTTTCCCATTGTTTGATTCTAGATGATTATTCACTTTCATTTTAATTCTTTACTGATGTTTTTCTATTGTACTGCTTCCACAGTGACCTACTCCAAGAATGAGATTGTCATTCTAATTTTATGTTTCATTTGCTTCCTTCTCCCCTTTTTCATTTTCTGTTTCTAATTGAGTATTTTGTGTCATTACATTTTCCCTTCTCTTTTAACACATCAATTATATTTCTGAAAATTTTAAATATGATTTCCCTAGAGTTGATGTATACATTTTAACTTGCCCCCCACCAGTTTTATTGAGATATATTGTCAAATAAGAATTTTATATTTAAAGTGCAGGACATTGTAATTTGATATATGTACACATTATGAAAAGTTGACTAAAGTCAAGCTAATTAAGCCATCCATCGCCTCACATGGTCACTTTTTATGTGTGGTGAGAACACTCTTTAGTACTTATTTATATAATGTGATATAGTATTACTGACTATTGTCACTTTTTCCCTTCTCCGATGATAGTGTTTTTCATTTATCCATATGATTTATCATCTGATACATTGTTAATATTATTTCCTAAATCCTTACCTTTTAATCTGAAACCATAAAATACATAGAAGAAAACATAGTCAATATACTCTAGATATCAACTGCAAAGATGTCTTTGGAGACCCAACTTCAATTGCAAAGTAAACAGAAGCAAACATAAATAAATGGGACTATACCAAACTCTAACGTTTTTAGATAGCAAAAGAAATCATCCAGAAAACAAAAAGAGAGAAGAGGTTAGCATATCATACATCTGACAAGGGGTTAATATTTAACTAAAGAACTCACACAACTCAACAACAGCCCCCCCCCAAAAAAAAAACCACAACAAACAGCAATAACAAAAAACCCAAGAAGTTTAATCAAAAAATGGGCAAAAGACCCAAATAGAGACTTCTCCAAAGATGACATACAAATGGCCAAAAATCACATGAAAAAATGTTCAATATCACTTATCATCAAGGAAATGCAAATCAAAATCATAATGAAGTACCACCTCACACCCATGGGAATGGCCTATTTCAAAAAAACCCGGAGATAAATATTGGCGATAGTGTTGAGAAAAGGAATCCTGGTACACTGCTGGTGGGAATATTGATGGCAATGATGCCCATGTAGCTGGTCTCTGGAAGGTAGTATGGAATATCTTCAAAATGTTAAAAATAGATATATGATCCAACAATTTCATTCCTTGGTATTTGTGCAAAGAATGCAAAAACACTAATTCAAAGGGATATATGCACTCCTCTGTTCATTGCAGCACTACTTACAATATTCACATTAGAGACACAACCTGAATGCCCAGTGATAGATTCGTGGATAAAGATGATGAGCTCTGTATACAGACAGTAGAGTACTAATTAGCTATAAAAAGAGATGAAATCTTGATTTTCAAATACATGGGTGGAACTAGAGGGAATTATGCTATATGAAATAAGGCAGAAGGAGAAAGACACATACCAGATGATTTTATTCATCTGTGGAATATGCAGAAACAAAGGAACAGACAAAACTAAACCAAAACAACAAACCCTAGAAATACGACTGCATAATTGAGGCAACTAATGGAGAGGGGAACAAATGGTTTTGGGGCCCAGTAGACTGTAGTTGAGGACTGTGGGGGGCTTTGATGGTGGTTTTGATATAGAAACATACATCTGAAGAGCTGTGAACTTATCCCTTAGTTTATATATGTGTTGTAAACCAATGTTGCCTCAGTAAATTAAAAATTTATGGTATCAATAAATTACCTGTATGCAGGAATTTGAAAGGCAATCACAGAGGTTAATTCAAACAAAGTACATGTCTTGCATCGTTTTCTTCTACTATATGTCAGATGAACTTGGGTATATTACCAAGTATTTCTAAACTCAATGTTGAGTATTGAAAAGAAAAGAACATTGACTTTAAAAAAGTCTTACTAGAATAAGTGAGAGCATATTTTCTAATGCTAAGTAGAAATAGGAGTTAAGTAATGATATATAAGACTGAACAATTGTGAAATAACCATGTTTCAGATTTTATTTCACTGTATTAGTGAAATACTTCCCTAGCATTATTGCATTTTAAAAGCAGGACAGTAAAGTAAGTTAGAGCGTGAAAGACAGATACTGTGTGATCTGTTTCATTTGCAATGTAAAAAAAATAAACACAAAGCCTGAACTCATAGATACAGAGAACAGACTGATGGTTACCAGACGAAGGCAGGGGATGGAATGGGTGAAATTGGTGAAGGTAATCATAACATCTAGTAATAAATTAACTAAATCCTGGTGATGGAAGTTACAGCATGGTGATTATAATTAGTATTACTGTATTATATATTTGAAAATTTCTGAGAGTAGAAAGTTCTCCTAGCAAGGAAAAAAATTGTAACTGGTGATGTTAATTAGACAAGTTGTGATTTTTAGAATACATACAAATATCAGATCATTGTATTGTACACACGAAACCAGTATGTTATATATCAATTATATCTCAATAAAATAAATAAAAATGTTGTCAGATGACTTTTTATTTGCTACTGTTTCAATGTTTCTTAGTAGTTTATTCTTTAATTTTTTTTATCTTTGTCTATTCTATATTAGCAATATTTTTTGATTACAGTTAATTTGTGGGTTTGTTTGAAGTATTATTTGGCACATTTGCTTCTTGCTGAAAACCATAACTGGTGTAAGATTGGTGTTCTAGTTTGTGTTAATTTTTTAAAAGACTATCTTAGTCATTGAAATTTTCAAAGACAAGTTCTGTTTTGGAGTAGGTCATGACTGGTCTTGACAGCATAATAAATTGAAGTCATTTTTGACTCATCTATGGCTTAAGAGTATATATCCTATAGCTGAATTTGGTACTCTATCTCCAGCATGAGATGATCTCAGAATTATTAATGAAAGCATTGTAATTCAACTTTTCAATTATCAGAATTTTCTAAAATGCTAACTTTTTTCTCTCTCTGGAAAGAAATATCTATTTTTTGCCTCTGAACTTTTCTGCTGAAGTTTTTTAACCTTTTACTTTTCTTTCTCTCGCTTACTCTGTGCTTAAACCATTTCCTTCTACTTTTCTTTCTTCTTTTCTCCTTGACTCTTCGCTCCTGTTAGCATCCTGAAATAGTGTTAAGCCTTCCATCCAAGCCAGTAAGTGACCTGACCAAGTGGTGCTATAGAATCCTAGTTGATGTTTTTTTGTCTTTTGCATGAGTTTTCTTTTTTTTAACTCAACTAAGAAAAATGAATACATTTGACCTTATCTCTCAAGTAGGAACTCTAGTTTTGCTTTTTTTTTTTTTTGTTTTGTTTTGTTTTTTTAAAAGGACACCTTTCTAAAATTTACTGGAGTGATATAAAATGGAAACATTTCTGTGAGCCCAAAACTCTCCCTCAAACTTTGGGAAATGTTTACGTTTCTGTTACTTTTGCTTTTTTTTTTTATTCTTAGTGAGTCAGTTCATTCAGGACTGCCTCTGCTTCCCCCTGCTTTTACCTTGTTGTGACTTTTAACCATGTCAGTTTAGATATTTTGCTAACACATTAAAACTACATGTCTACCAGTGGAACTTCCTTTAAAGGCCACTGTTTGGAACTGTGGATTTTCACAAGTGATTAAAGCTCAATTATAGATATTAGTAAAGGATTTCATCTTAAAAGTACAGTTGTCACTTTGACAAAGTATTTGGCTTAGTAAGTAGAAACATTTGTTTTTCATTCAAGGTACTTTGTGCCAGATCTTTCTTTTCAAAGTATTTCTTAAGAATATATATTACTCCTTTAATATTTTCTTCAAACCATTTTAAGATACTATGTTTTTATTTTATTGAATGAGGAAAAATTAAATACCTTAGCTTTTACTTTCTCATTAAATCGATCATAAATGCAAGTTTTTAGATATTCAGGAGGAAACTTGAACATGTGAAATAGTTTTTAATTGTTAAAATGGCTTTGTGGTCCAAAATTCAGTGAAAATGCTAGTTGTTCTTTATAATAGGATCCTGAATAAAGAACTATTTAGAAAACATTCTAAATATAATTGTTGATTTCTGACTTTGTCCCTTGTTATCTTGTAAAATCCTCAGTTTTTACATTAGGGAGATACCTAAGTGGTAATAGCCATTTTCTTAACCTAACTTCGTTTTTATGGCATCACTTACAGTACCCGTATGATCCTAGATGTTTAAGGCCATATGACTCATATATGGTTGGTAAGGCAATACACAGAGAAGGGAAGGGGAAGGAGGGTCACATGAAATTTAGATGTCAGCCCTGGTACTGGCTATAGTAAGATCAGCACTGAGTCTCTGCTCATGCATTTTGGCATTATTGTGGAGAGACCATTAGTTGTCTAATCACTCATTAGTACATCTCACTGGAGTCTGACGCCTCTTGCAGCCTATAATGAATTTTCATTTAGTAATAAATATTCAGAGATGGGCTGTTTTAAACAAATCCACTCTAAATCTGAGGTAACTTTCTCCATCTCACTGGAGTCTGATGCACCTTGCAGCCTATGATGAATTTTCACTTAGTAATAAATATTCAGAGATGGGCTGTTTTAAACAAATCCACTCTAAATCTGAGGTAACTTTCTCCATCTCACTGGAGTCTGACGCACCTTGCAGCCCATGTACCTTTCTCCATTTACTAATATATTGTCTCTCTAATAGTTAAGCAGAGAAAAATCCTATAAATTGAGGCTAGCTGGTAAATATTTGATAATACTTTGTTTAAATTAAAATGTAGCTATCTCTTTAGGACATATTTTGCCCACTGCCACAGTATATATCTCTGATAGAATTTGAACCCTTTTCTTTATAGGCACATGAAGCAACTTTAGAAGCCAGAGCCAGTCCTGAGATGAATGATCGAATACAGCAATTAGAGAGAGAAATTGCCAGGTACAAAGATGACTCTAGCAAGGCCCAGGCAGAAGTTGACCGTCTCTTGGAAATCTTGAAGGAAGTGGAAAATGAGAAGAATGACAAAGATAAGAAGATTGCTGAGTTGGAAAGGTAAGAAAAAGGAAAATAAATATATTAAAGAACTTTGCAGTGTGATTTGAAAACTGTACTTTGGGGGACATGCATTTTCAATGTAGCTGCCTCTCTGAATTTCTGTTCTTGAATGTTTGATGTTATTTTATTACCAGCTTTTAAATTTAGGGGTAAATTCATTGTTGCAATCTCCAAAAGGCAACATAGAATGAGAGTAAGTTGGGAAACTATAGATTTCAAGATCACTGGTTGAAAGAGAAAGTATTCATTGATTAAGAAAGTAAAGTTTTCTACTGACTAATCAAGAAAGTATAAGTAATTCTGTACTTTTTAATCATTATGTAAGGAGTAAATGAGCCTCAAGTTCAAGAACTTATTATTTTTTTCATTGGCTTGGACCTTTTTATTGAGTTAATGTTCCTTTGGACTACAGATCTTTAGACTTTTCATATTATAGAAAATCAGATATTAAAGCATAGGTCAAATTAAGAAGAGGGAAGGACATTTGAGGATAACTTAGGAGATAAGAGTTTTATGGCACTCGGATTTTGAATTCTTCAGAATGAGCTGAGTTTGAACAGAGCCAGTCAGACAGCTCTCTTCAAATTTTGTCTTTTTTTTTTTTTTCCTTATTAGGGTATTTTATACTACAGATTAAACATATCCCTCTTAGCCTCTGCTCTTACAATATTTACTTAACATAAGTACACAGTGCATAGAAACAGTTCTTCCGGTAGAACTCCATTAATCTATCCATTTTTCTGAACAAGCCAAAGAGACTGTCAGTGCCAGAGTGAAGTCACTATAGAATGTGACAGTGGGGAGTATTACTACTTTCATAAGTTTCTGTTTAAAATGTTGGGGGTTTTGATAGACTTGATATTTTCTCCTCAAAGTTCTTTTTTTCCTATTCTGAACCCATAGACTATTGATTTTCAAGAAACTAAAATAATAAAGTGAAACCCTCACTATTTTCCTTCATTGTACTGAAAATATGAGTAATATGGACTGATTGCCTTTTATTTTGATATTAACTCTGTTCAGATAGCCTTGGTTCTGGGTAAGACAAATAGATAAAATACCTTAAATCAGAATTAACAAATTACCAGAGCCTCAAGATTAGATCTTGTGTATTTTTGTATATCATCTTCCACATTTGCATTATACCTTCCTCTTAAAATACACACACAACACACCCTATAAAACTCATGTGAATATATGCCTCTCTTTGCTTTTGTGTCAGCTTGAAATCAATAGCAGTACTGCATGGATTTAAAAATACCATGCTTTAGAACTCTTCTGCACTGTTGGTGGGAGTGCAAACTGGTCCAACCACTGTGGAAAGCTGTGTGGAGATTTCTGGACCTACTAAACATAGAGCTTCCATATGATCCAGCAATTCCACTCCTAGGTATTTACCCAAAGGACACAGAAACATCAATTCCAAAGAACACCTGCACCCCTATGTTTATAGCAGCACTGTTTACAATAGCTAAGCTTTGGAAACAACCCAAATGCCCAAAAATAGATGACTGGATCAAGAAGATGTGGTACATATATACCATGGAATATTACTCAGCATTCAAAAAAGATAAACACATGCAATTTGCAGCAACATGGATGGCGCTGGAAGGGATCATGCTCAGCGAAATAAGCCAAAAAGAAAAAGAAAAATACCGGATGGTCTCACTCATAGCAGGAATCTAGAAAACTTAAATAAGGGACCAGGAAAATGAATAACTATAAGAAAGTGAAAATCAAAATCAACAAAAAAACTATGAACCAGAGACACTTTTAGGGGGGCAGGGGCGGGAGGGGAGGGATTGGGGTCAGAATGGGGGCGCTGCAATTGTATGGGGAATATAATAATAAAATTTATTATCTAATAAAAAAAAAATAAAAAAATAAAAATACCATGCTTTAGATGGATTAGTGACTTCCAATATATTTTCAGTGTTTTAGAAAAGAAATTTCTTGAGGAAGTTTTGAGATTTAGGTTTGTTTCTTTATGTCAAAAATCTGCATTGAAATTATTGCTTACTCTTTCAGTCAACTTGATTGAAAAACAAAATGTTTTGTTTCGGACTGATTTTTGGGTGATGAAGATGATTGGGAGTTAAGAAATAGGATTAAGTCTATATTTGAGATCCAAAGCACACCAAATAGTTTTTATTAGGCACTATATTTCTCACATTTTGAGAAAGAGTTGTAAGTGATCTACTCTTTCTACAGAATATGACTTTTCATGAGGTTGAAAAATCACTGCATACTTTTATCGCCTGGCTGCTCTGTTTTGTTAATTTTGTTTTAAGATTTGACCTAGGTTTTTTTGCTACCAGAAAAGAAAGTTTCTAAAACTCACATTTTGCTACTGTGATTTATTACTCAGCAGCATCATAAAAGATACTAATAAACATTCAAAGATAGTATGATATCATGCCTTTTGTTCCCAGATTTAGTGCTGAGGGGCATGTATGTGGCTGCTGTGTTTCTTACTAACCATTTGCTTCTTGTGTTTGCCATTCTACTGTTTCCTATGTGTGGGTGTCTGTCTTCTGTAATTTATCATTTGAATTTCTCCACCTTTCTTCTAATTTGTTTTATCATGGTCCTGTTCATTGGGGTTTTTGGTCTCTATGTGTATATGTGTGTTCCCTCTTGGCCATGCTGTCTCCCAGAAAGCCAGTCTCCCGCAGTTTGTACCTTCCACGCCAGGTTTCTGTCCCTGCACCGTCAGGGGGGTTTGTTTGGGACTTCCTGGGAAAGTGAGTGTCATGTAAGACTGTGGTTCTGTACCAGACTGAATGGCTACTGCTGCTCTCGCTACTGCTGGGGCTTGCGGGGATGTTGCCTGATCAGCATTAAAGAACAGCCAGTTATATTTCAGGTTGAGTTATGCCTCCTAAATATGTTGATAGTGGATAAAGCGTGTGTTGTGTCTGGTAAGATCCTCTCTCTGGTAAGAAACTGTTGGTTATAATTGTCTCAGGCTTTATTTCCAGTTCTTCTTTCATGTGGTTGCTTTTATGCTGGAATACTCTTTTAAAGTAGCAGTCAGCTGATGCAACTGTCATGCCACTCATTAGTTCAGCATGTAGAATTCATTCCTGAAGGATGTTCAACCTTCTCAGGGAGCAAATAAAAGCAGACTGTTATAATCATTGCTTGAACTATAGAAAATTCTTAGAATTCTTTACAAATTTCCTAGTAATTATTATTTAAAGATCTCCAACATTAAAAGGTTTCTATTCAATCACATAAGAATTCTCAGACCTATCCTTTGTGGTCTTGAGAAAAACAGAATCGCTTACATTTTTTTCTTACAGAACAATAGCAGTGCCTTTCAGAAATGGTTTAGTGTTGAACACTGGAATTAAAAAAAAGAGGATTGAGTAAGCCCACCCATCCATCTGCAAATAAAAAATACTTGTTGATTAAGTCTAAGAAACACTGCTTCTAAATTCATATTCCATACAGTAGGTAGTGTGTATCAGAATTCAACCAGAGGCAGAACCAGCATGATTTTGGGTGACTGGCAAAGCAGGTCTTGAAATCTCTACAGCGGAATTTTAGGAAGACATCACCAGCAGGATAGAACTCCTGTGGGCATGTACTGAAACTGTGGTCCAGATGCAGGAGAAACCTTAGTCCTGCTTTTTTGAGCTTTCCAAAGGATTCAGTTATTTTGCCCAGTCCGATTATCTGGGATAATCTTCTTTACTTAAATGGATTACGGACTTTAATTATATCTGCAAAATACCTTTATAGCAACATCTGCCTTAGTGTTTTATTAAGTAAGTAGGTACTTTGGCCAAGCTAAGTTGATATTTCCGGAAAGTCATTACTTGGTGGTTCTGGATATTTTTATAGGTTAATTTATGGAAAAGACAACAGCAACAAACCCTAGAGCTTTCTGTGTTCTTATATAAATAGAGTGATTTAGGTTAGCTTTAGAAACCCTGAATGTAATTGAGATTTTCTCTTCTAAAGTGAACATATTAAGAATTTCTGTTTAGATAAATAGTGAAAAAACTTTTCTTTGGTATAATGGTTAAAATACTTGGAGAGGAGAGTTATGTAGGCTGATTGAATTCTGGTAGAATTGTTTGTTGTCTGCTTTTTCACTCATGCTGTTCCTTTTAGCTAACTATGCATGTCTTGGCAATGTATAAGGAGCACTATTTGTCATGCCTCATCTTGTGTGTTGCTTCATTATTTAGCTTTTGTATTTCCTTTGTTACCTTTTTTTACTTATACAGAAATACTAATGAATCTACTGAGTTTGGTATTTCAAGCAGAAGTCTTCAGTTTAATATGGGGTTAATTTAGATTCAGTTCAGTATCATTTAGAAATTTATATAGTTAGAGAGTGAACAACCATCTTCTGATTTTCATATAAAGTAGGTATTAAGAATTGCTTTTGATTTATCGAAGTTAGGAATTTTCAGTGACCTAAAGCCTAGCAGACTGTATTATTGTGTAGCATAAAGCATTAATAGAAAATTTGGTATATTTCTTTATTTGTGAGAAAATGCTAGTTGGGATTTTAATTGATATAGATTTCATTTTAGGATGTGTATGGAAATTTAGCCAGAGGGATAAATGTATGAAAAAGAAAGGCACACTTTTTTGTTTTTAATGTTTTTTTTAAAAGATTTGTTTATTTATGCATACAAGAACTGGGGTACAGGCCAGAGGTGCAGGGGGTGAGAGGATTCACCAGAGACAGAGTGGGGAACAGAGCAGGCAGATTGACTGAAATACACTGCTGAGGGGAGCAGCGGGCAAGTCAGGAGAGATCTGCTGCTCCATGTAGCTAGCTCCCTGGCTGGGGATTGAACTCATGGTGCAGTGGCTGCGGATAGCTTCATAGATTGTGTCTTAACCCATTGCACCATCAGGGAGAGGCCACACTTTTTTGCAAACCTTTAATCTATGTAAACCCTCAAGTTCTTTTTAATCTCTTACTCCTTTTGACTGGTTATTCTCCCTTTAAATTTGCATCTCTAAACACCACT